GAGTTCTTCTCTTAGACAGAAAACAGTCTGTTCCACCTTGTGATGTCATGTGGTGATACAGGAGTTGCTCTAATGTGTTTTTAAACTTCTTAAACCTTCACTAGAATCATTTGGACAATATCAGCCCTGGAAGTCCCAATCTCTACTGAACGGTAAAGGGTAGCTCTTAACTACTGCTTCGTGACATCACAAGGTGGAACAGAGCATTTTGAGCTTTGGAGATGCAGACAGACTAATAATAAAGGATTACTCAAACCAAACACAACTCCGGGCATGTTTTTGATGAGGTAACAACATTTTACCGTGACTTAAAGATCACACGGGTAAATTTAGCGTAGTATACAGTAAGACTTTTAAATCCATTTAGTATTTTTTAATCTTCTTCGTTTCCTGATCTTTCTAAACTTGATTCGTTCACTTGTTTGTTGTCTTATTTGATGTACTTTGGAGCTTTTCGCCGACGTCTGTCCAGGAGCAGGACGCCGTTCCGTGGGTTTCCGTGGTTACGCTGTGACTCATTCTCTACAGCAGTGCTTTCCAAGATGAAAGACGGAAAACCAACCAACCAAGCCCACCGCCTAATCCCGCCACTCCCTCCGCTCCTACTACTACTACTACCACTCCCATCACTTCCTAACCATACACGGAGAGAGGGTTGTTTGAGGTCACTGTAGTAAAATGAAATGAAACTGTATAACTTTTCAAAATGGCCTTTTAAATGTCATTGTTGTGGTTGGAAGTTGGCTGGTCTCAAGTTGCACTGCCTCATGGGAAATTAAGTGGAATTGTAATTTGTGGAATTTGGATTACAAAAGTACGCTCATACTTTTGGAGCTGTTTGTTATTGGCTTTGCTCACTTTATGCAGTGTTGTTATTATTACTCAGAAATATAACCGGAAATTTCCAATGATTATAACAATATATATTTTTATTGCCACTCAGTTTCATAGATAGAGCTTTCTTCTACCATTTTTTTCAGCTATTTTTGCTAAAGATTACACTACAGCTTCTCAGTGCACATCTCATAAATTAAAATGTAAACAGATGGATGCTAATAGCGCACTTCCTGCTTCTCCAACTGTAAAACACCTTTATATTAGACGCAGACCATACATATCAGATTACTTGGAGCTGGTTATATTACAATGTCTGTACCATTTTGCTCAAGTACATGCAAAGAAACAAAACAAAAACGTGTACAGTCACTTTAAAGGATGAAGAGGGGCATTGAGTCCTTCCTTCCACTGCCTCTGTAGTGTAAATAAACCTGCTATTTCGTGTCATCTGCCCGTAGCGCTCTGTTCTAGCGCTGTGTTGGGAGGGTGCATACTCTTCCCCACCGAGGGCCCCTAAGTTCAGCGTCGCCCACTCACGCCCGCAGTGAGTCAAAGTGACGATGAATCAGCCACAGCATTTACTTCCGGCGAGACAAATTTGAAATGGGTATGCCTGGGGTTTTGTAGTTTATTTAATGTGGCAAAATGAAGGTTTCTGTAGGTTGGGTTCTGAGTTAAAGACCAGCTGGCAAAATAGTGTTTTATACGGAGAGTTTTTTAGAGGCAATGTAAGCGTCCTCTTGAGAGTGGGTTGACAAGATGGATGCACATTTAATCTTTAAAAAATATGTAAAAAAAAAAAAAACAATTTCTCTGTTTCAGTATTCCACTTTATTTGTAAATATTCTCTCTTTTCTAGAAGCCTTTAATCAGCATAATTTCAATCTTGATTTGGTTAAACATGTGTAAACAAAAATATCTCTGACTAAATGATTGTTTGTTGCAGCACTAGTATAATCTAAAACTCTTGCTGGGTTAAATATGATATCCCAATATTCTACAGGCCAATAATATTTAATACTGATGGAGGGCAGCTACAATGAATACTTAAAATACAGAATTGTGTAGAGTCTTGGTCTATAGTCAGTGCATTTGTATATTTCATGAACAAGATAAAATTTAATCCATAGGGAAGTCCTGGATCTTTTGCCGGATTTGGTGGCAAGGTTGTCAAAAGAACTGAAAATTTGCGATGCACTGATCCAATTTTTTCAGTTCCAATATCGATTCCGATACTATAACTTTATGTATCTGCCGATCTCTGACATTCACCGATAACAGAGCACAGACTGAAAACAGCATTTATTTCCTTTAAACTGAAATAAAATAAGACATAATTGATCCAAACGTGTTATGTAGCTGTAGAACAGCTTTGTGTAAGTAAAAATTCCAACATTATGAGACTCTTTGGACCAACTATGACCAGTCTTATTACATCAATTTAAAAGCCCAATCAGGATCTTGGGTGAACCAATATTTAGAAGCCAATATCTGAAACCAGTAATTTGTCAGTATCAGTATAATACTTATCGACACTAAAACTAATAAGGTAGTATCGAAATTAAATACTCATTTGAGCAGGTATATTATTAGCCAGGCTGGCGCCACCTAGTGCCTCTGCTCAATTTAATTTCTCGCCAGCGACTAGGTCAGGAATCAAAATACACTAGACGGTTCGCAAAAACCCTGGAAGTGCAAGTTTGGGCACCAGCCAATCAGCGAAAAGCCATATTTTCTGTGTTGTCAACAATTCCTGAGATGAAGGATTTCAAGCCAGAATAAAGAGAATGTTTGGTTATTGCCCTTCTTTCTACGGGATTTGGGAAAAGCTTAATATACCAGTTAGCCCCGTTAGCGGCGCATTACATTACAACCAAGTAGCAGTGATTGGTTCAATTAAAAAAAAGTACCTGCCTACCGTTGAGCGAACAAGTTCTAACACTACGAGGTCAGACGGATTCTACAAAGTGAAACTGGCTGATGAATCAGGCTAGAATATTTTAGTATCGTGACAACACTAGTCAGTGACAGATATTATCAAGTTCAACCTTTGTGCATTTAGCCTTTGGATATTTCAAGTACAATGTCATCAATAGGGAGAACTTGGCTCGTTCCCATTTGGCAGTATGACATCATCTCACTTTAGAATCTGAAAACCACTGATAATACCATCAGATCACTACAAATACACTCCTGTTCTTTGTGAATAGGACAAAAACAATAGAGACTCCAATGACGGACAGATGCAGTGGATTTAAATTCCCTAATGGCTCACTGTACACTATACATGACCCCACCAATCCTTGTTTATACTGGCTCAGCGGTAAAGCCATGATTTGGATGGGCAAGTCTCTACAGGGCCCAGAATAGCCCCACAGTAGCAGCTTCAGTGTGGCACATTAAGTGAACAGGACTGCATGGATCTGGATCTAAGTGACTCATGGAAAAAACATGCAGGGCGTTTGAAACAAGAATTGATGATTTGAGTTTCACCGTGTTCAGGACAAAAGCAATAGCAATAGTTCTCTTGGCCCGTTATACTGTTAAAAGTAGAAGTGCAGATGATTCCGCGTATTATTGCTCTGGCTGGAACTGATTGGTGTCAGGTGTTGGTTTTTATGGGTTCTGTGGTATTGTTTGGTAGACAAAGTGAAGAATATGTACGTACTGCTAGACTGATCGCAATTGAAACTAAATTACAGTTTGAATGGACGCAAAGGCTGCAATTTTTTAAGGACCATAATTTCCTCCACAAACAACAAAATATCCTGTCTTATCCTGCATAAAACCCTATATTTCAGACCTGTACAAACATGCTCTGTTATATCAGCTGACAAACTAATACAAGAATCCTATTTCAATTTTTCTCAACTTTAAAGGTGCATGGTGTAACTTTTCTGGTGGAGGGTCTGTCAAATGCTTTTCTCCATGGAGATGTTATTGCTTTGTCTGGAATGTTTCACAGTGTGGTATTAAACCTTTTTATCTTCATGTTACAGATCAGATCTATGGAGAGGCAACCCTACTCAGTTCACAGTGCCAGTTTTCTAGGTATTTTTGAGCTATAAAGCCATCTCTAATTGAAGAGAAGCTATTTAATGTTATACTGTGGAACATTCCGGGCAGAGCAATGGCCTATCCATAGAAACAAACAAGTGACCTCACCCAAAAAGTTAAAATTGCAAAAGCAACATTTTGCAAAAAGGTATTGTTCACAAATTGTTTTTACCCTAGTAGCAGCTTTCCAGGAACAGTCAACACTTTAAAGATTTACTGTCTTATCTCTTTCTCATTGAAGGTTTGGAACTATACAACGTTTGTGTCGTAATAAACATGAAGACTTTATAGTTACAAAACATGCCTGTGGGGACTGAATAACTGGAAATGGAGCTTCACTTTGCGATTAGATTTGGCTGAGATCTAAATGAGTGATATATTGAAAGTACTAAAAGAAAGACAAGGCAGCGGACAGACTGTAGGAGCTGAGGACTCCAGAAACTGCACCACTGAAAGTCTTTGATGCAGTTTCTGGAGTTATCAGATTATTGAAATGTCATGTTACATCTGTCACATCTCATATCCTTTCTTTTTGATTGTTCACACCTAAGCTGTTGGTTTTATTAAAGAAAAGTATGCACAGAGATGATAAACTTATGTGGCAAAGACAAAATGTTAAAGATTTAAAGAGCGTTTTAACTAACTGTACTTTCCCACAATACAACAGCTGCTCTAAAAATCCACTGATAGATCCATATATATATAGGAACGCTTGAGGGTTTCAGATAGGCAAAGTATGTGACAGTACAGTGGCTCAGTTGGTAGACTGATCCGAACGTCAGCGGTTTGAATCCTACTTTCATGTGACATAAACGTCATTGGTTGAGCGGTCAGATCCACTGACCCATAGGTTGGCGATGCGATTCCAGATGACTACTGTTGTTCTGTCCTTAACCCTCCTCGCCCCCAGTGTCTGCATACACTGGTGTTTGAATGTGTGTGCGAATGGGTGAGTGAGTCCTTTATGTAAAGCGAGTGAGTCCCTTGAAGGTGGAAAAACACTATATAAAAATGTGGCCATTTATCATTTTGTTGGTGCTCTGTTTCTGTGTTTTAATGCATCAGTAATAATAGTATAACTAATCCATGTGTTGCTGTTGTTGCAGGAGCCGTGGGGGCCCAGTCCCTATTCTCCATGCCTCGGCGGCCCGGCTATGGCACCATGGGGAAGCCTATCAAGCTGCTGGCCAACTGCTTCCAGGTGGAGATCCCCAAGATGGATGTCTACCTGTACGAGGTCGACATCAAGCCTGACAAGTGCCCTCGCCGTGTCAACAGGTACACCAGAATATAAGGCTGTGCAGTTAATCTAATTTGAATCAAGGTTGTCATTTGTAATTGGCAAAGATATACACTCAGACAACCTTTATTGATCCACAAGGGAAATTATTTGGACACAGCAGGTCACAAATCACTATGTATTATAATTAGGGGTGTCAAATTATCGCGTTAATTGCGATGAATTAATTACAGTCATATTTAGCGCATTATGTTTTTTAATCGCGTTAATCTCATTTTAAATCTCTAACTTTACTGTTTCTGTATGCGAGTTGCTTTATTATAAAATCAGTTTTTATGTGTTGTTGGGACAATAACAACACACACACACACACAAAAAAAACACATTTATAATTTTTTTTATTTCCGTAATTCCATTTCATTGCCGGAAACCCACACAGAACGCGCGCAGTAAGAGCGATGTAAACGTCATGTTAACGTTGGCGGCATCAGTTGCACAATGGACGAGGTCGAAGAGCCAGTAGAACAGAGGCAGCAGTGCACAGGTAAAAACGCATTTGTGTCTTGGAAATTCTTCTCCCGACGTGAAATATAAAAGAAAATAACAAATATAAAATCGCCTACAACTTAAATGTCACTGGTGAAAACAACCTGCATAGGCTCATGATGTCTGCACTACTGTCCTATAGTGACCTGCCACATGAGGGGACACGCACACAAACACACACAAAACACACACACACACAACACACACTTCATCATCGTCATTACCCTGAGAACGCGCGGACCACGTTTCCTTCCGTAGTTACTGCGCGGACACCGCTGTCCTCTCGTGCGCCACGTACGTTTTCTCGCGTACGCTGCGTAAACCGCGCTTCCTCCTGTGCGCCTCTAAACCAGAACTAACACCAAGACTAAAACTGGGACTAACCCAGTCCAGGACTAAACCAGGTCTAAAACCAGGACAAAACCAGAACTAAACCAGGTAAACAGGTCTAAACCAGGTCTAAACCAGGTCTAAACCAGGACTAAACCAGGACTAAACCAGGACTAAACCAGGACTAAACCAGGTCTAAACCAGGACTAAAACCAGAACTAAAACCAGAACTAAAACCAGGTCTAAACCAGACTAAAACCAGGACTAAACCAGGACTAAACCAGGAACTAAAACCAGGACTAAAACCAGAACTAAACCAGAACTAAAACCAGGACTAAAACCAGGACTAAACCAGGACTAAACCAGAACTAAACACCAGGACTAAAACCAGGACTAACCCATTCCAGGACTAAACTAGGACTAAACTAGGACTAAAGTAGGACTAAAGTAGGACTAAAGTAGGACTAAAGCAGGTCTAAACCAGGACTAAACCAGGACTAAAACCAGTGATCTCATATATAAAGTATTTCTCTATCAATAATATTTTTAATATGGTTAAGGAAATATTGGACTTTTTATTGTCTTTAAGTAGACAAAAGTTATTATGTTCAGATTTCCTCGTCTTTGTTACTTTACAGCAAACAGTTCATTCATGGAGACTTGGGCTCAACAGCCAATTTGAAGAGAACAAACAAGAACAACATTTGCAGGATGCGGTTGCTACATTCATGTAGTTTTAAAAAACATGACAATATCAAGTAATCCAAAGTGTTCAAATTACTCACTTTAAGTAATTAAATGGATTAAGTTACAAACTACATTTTGGGATATGTAATCTGTAATCTGTAGGGGAATACATTTTAAAAGTAACCTTCCCAACACTGCAGATTAGTAATAGTAATAATAATGATGATACTGTGGAATGTAAGTGACTGCATCTGTTAAAGTTTGTTAAACAATAAATGACTTTATAAAGTCACTTTTTTTTTGTTCTATATCAGTCTTTTGATCTGCCACAATAATGTAATAATGAATTTAAATTAAAATACCTCAAATTGAAGTCTTTTCTCAGCAATTTTTAGGTGAGATTAAAAAGAGATTAATTAGATTAATTAATTACAGATCATAATTAATTAATCTCTCAATTTTTTTAATCGCATGACAGCACTAATTATAATAACAAAGATCAATAATATAGACACTACTAATAAATTCCAAAGAAGTAGCAAAACTGGCAAGAAGACCAATGTCAAATAATGCATAAGTATATAAATGTATATGTACAAGTAAAATAAAATGTAGAAATATAGTATTACAAACTACATCTGGTCTATATTCTCTATAGCCCAGAGAGCCAATAGTTTATAAGTAAACATGTGGGGTTTGGGGAGTTCAGATGTTGGAGGAATAAATTTGACTATGTTTTCGTTCAAAAGTCAAATAAATACAAATATTTTACTAAATTGTTATGCACCAGATTTGAATTTGTTAAAGTGTAACTTTATTGATTTTTATTTAAGATTCAATTAAAATGCAGGTAATATTATTTTACAGTGTGTGGCAAATATTTGTTGAATTTTGTTCATGTAGTTGCTTTGGCTCACTTTGAGCTTTTTGTACATGTTTTTCCAGTATGTTTTTTAACTACAAATGGCAAATAAACTGACCTATCTTAAATTAATAGTTCCTCTAATGTATTTGTAACCATGTAGGGAGGTGGTGGACTCCATGGTGCAGCACTTCAAAGTGACCATCTTTGGGGACAGAAGGCCAGTATATGATGGGAAGAGGAGCTTGTACACAGCCAACCCGCTCCCCGTGGCACCAGCTGGGGTAAGATGGGGTTGTCATTAGTAACAAGGGTTTGTGCCTGTTTATAATCAAAGCTGAACTGCTGAACTGCTGAACATTTCACCAAATACATAAACAACCATACAACATTTATACATTCTTTTAAGGTGGACTGCTAACTTTTCTGGTCTGTCACTTGCTTGTCTCCATGGAGATGTCATTGCTTTGCTTGGATTGTTACAGAGTGTGGCATTAAACATCTGTCCAGCATTTATTTCATTATGTGTCTTTTAATAAAAAAAATTTAAAAAAAACATAGAAATGCTTCCTACCTCTTCACGAATCTGACCTGTAACTTGGCCTGATGATGTGTCCATGACCACAAATGAGTTTATTACCATACTATAGTAGAGCATTCCAATACAAAGCAATTACACCGCCATACTATCTTTATATTATAGGTGAAAATGCTTGCCTTACCCCTTTTGTCATTTTGAATTTGAAGTTGCTGCTTTTGATTTAAATCACTCCTTGAATCCTACTTATGTAAGAACATTTATATTTGTCTAATTTTGATGGGGTTTTTTGTAGTTAACATCAGTCATTTTGTTATTTTGTTAGTAGGAACATGTAACCTGGAATGTTCTACAGTATGGCTTTCACAATGACAATGCCTACACTTGACTGTTGTTGTATATAAATACACTCTAAACTTGACTACCTGTGTATTTTGTGCATATAGGTGGACTTGGATGTGACGTTACCAGGAGAAGGGGGCAAAGATCGTCCGTTCAAAGTTTCCATTAAGTTTGTGTCGTTGGTGAGTTGGCACATGCTCCATGAGGTCCTGACCGGACGCAGTATGCCTGAGCCTCTGGAGCTGGACAAGCCCATCAGCACCAACCCTGTGCACGCTGTGGATGTGGTCCTACGGCACCTCCCCTCCATGAAGTAAGTGCTTTTATCATAGAACCAAAATCCAGTTCCATTTAGGAAAGACAAAAGCTGTTGTTGTGTCTTAGTAAGAAAGTGGTGTGTGCGTGAGTGTTGGTGGTGGTCGGAGGAGCAGATGGCAACTTTGCTTTTGTCAGTCTGTCCCACGGCAGCTGTGGCTACATATATATATACAGTCTATACTTGCACACTTGCACATCACATTCATACCAGGTAAGGTGAGTGAAGTATTTTGCCTAAAAACACAACACCAGAACTCATGGGTTGATGTACAAATGCTCTATTTGCATTGCATTTCAAGTTCATTATATTTCCGTTTGCCTGTTTGACATTTCTGGTTAGATGCAAATTTAATACAAAGTTCTATTCAAAGTCTCATATAAAAGTAGACTTTGTTAATTACATCTGATCATACTACTTTGAGCTTATATTTTCTTCTTTCTTCTTTACACCTGCTGTTTCTCGAGAGATAAGTTTAGCTGCTGTGCTCTCCAGTCTCATATTAATATAAATACATTATCCTTTATTTACTCTGTCACCATAGCGTCAATATGAGGAGCGAGCGGAAATGAAATAGTGCTTGTATAGGAGCGCAAACAGAGCCTCACTTGATCCCACATCACCTTGTACTTAATGTCTTTTCTGTAGCAAGAGCAGGTCTAGGGTCCCCTGGGCCATAATGAAAACGCGCTGTATTTAACACTTAACTTTTTAACCCAGACCAGAGTGTGCAGTGGTAAGAATCCAATGAAAAGTCAAAATAGGTCATGAACAGAAATTGGAAGTTAAATAATTTTGGAATCCAGACATCTTTGCTTAGACTAGAGAATAGTTCTACATATGTGGTATTTATTTCTATTTTTGATGGAAGGTACACCACCTGCTTATCTAAATTGAATTGCCTAAAATGCTCCAAATTATAGCAATAAACTTCTATCTATCTTCCATTTATTATTTAGGTGTTTTATTGCTCAGAAAATTCTTGTGAAGGGGGATGCCTCTCTAAAGATCAGACTTGTAACTTGGACTCTTGGTGTCACCTGTTGAACTTATGTTGCGAGATAAATTTAATGCCATATACTAAAACATTCTCGATAAAGCAATAAGCTTGTCCATTGTGACAGGCAGGTGGCAGACCCTTCATTAGGACCTACACCTTTTGCAATTAAATCAAACCCCTGAACTTAAATTATGTGTGTTTGTGTGTTTTGCAGGTATACTCCAGTGGGCCGCTCATTCTTCTCTGCTCCTGAGGGCTATGACCATCCTCTGGGTGGGGGGAGGGAGGTCTGGTTCGGCTTCCATCAGTCTGTGAGGCCCGCCATGTGGAAGATGATGCTCAACATCGATGGTAAAATGGCCACTTTTTCATTTTGTAGCATTGTCACGAACAGAAATAGGTATCACCACTACAAGCGTATTACATATCATTCAGGAATATTTTTGAATAGACTGATATGACAATTCAAGGCCACATATAAGATACTAAGCGTGCATGAACTGTGATACATTTACAATTCTGAGATGGCTCCCGGAAAAAAAGACAAATCACTCATTCCAGGTCCTATATTACGCTATGATAATGTTATTACACACTCAAAAACATATCCAGAATTATGTTTTGTTTCATTTACTCATGTTTGAATAATCTTTAATTATTAGTCTGTCTACATTTACAAAGTGCCTTATGTTCTTTTCTACCTTGTGATGTCATGAAGTGATAGTTTTCAAGTTAACAGCTAATTACCTTTAGTTCAGTAGAGATTGGCAATTCCACGTCTGAAATTATCCTATTGATTTTAGTGAAGGTGTATGGATGATTTGTGATAAGGAAGCAACAGTTGAACATTGATTAGAAAATAGCATAATAATAATGATTTACCTTACTATTTTTATGTCATTGTTACAAGAAATGTCCTGGTTATACAAGAAAAAGGTTGAAAATTTTGTGGAAGTATACTATGAAAAGAAATTGGTGAGATTTTTTTCATTTCTT